GAAACTCAATATCCCTTCTGTACAGAAGGGATATTGCTATTACTACCACAACACACCCAAAACTAATTTAGCAAAAAATGTACGTACGAATAGAAATTACCATGAAAACTTAAAAGATGTATACAGGAATAATTATGTCACTCGACTGACTTTTGTACAAAATGGTGCTGCAACTGTTGTACCGATCACCCAGTCGTGCAATATGTACTTACTTGCTTATGTAGGATATCATAATTTTAATTTTTACTAATAACTGAAAAATCGCCAAGGAAATATTTTGAAAGCGACCAAAATTTGTACCTTAATAAGTGGATTCTTGCGACTGATGGAAAATAAATTCAAAGGATTTTCAGGTGAGGATAGAAATTTTAATTGAAAGGAAATCTCGAAGACTCCAAGAATAAAGCGGAAGATTTCTATTTGATATACGAGACTTTGGATCTGTACTCCTTTAATAAAGTTCCAATTTCAAATGTCCTTTGTCCGCAGTCTGTGTTTTACACAGGTACCGAAAAATACGTACATCCTTTTACTTACTTCATACTTGGTAAACTGAAACTAACAGCTGCCTTTCATTACTGAAACTTACTTTTGTTATATACTTCTTATTTGTTCTGCTCTAGTAAATGGACCTAAAGTATATGACGCCCATGTCAAAGTTAAATGGTATCGGTGTGAACGGTATCTATTTACTGAGACGGCCCGAGTCTTGCATTCGGAGTCGATAGGAGACTGTAAGAATTGGATTTGAAATCCTTCCGATTAGGCGTCCCGCAAGGGTCCCATTTGGGTCACTTGCTTTTCAACATATGTCTACACGACAGAAGTATGCTTCAAGTACTCAAATGACGATATAGTTATTTTTGATACATGTGCGGAAAGTTAGTCATTATTCACGAGTCTCGAAGCTTCTTGGCCCGAGCCAGAGGCAAGGGTCAAGACTCGAGACAAGTGAAAATGACAAATCCGCACATGTATCAAACGACGTTTTTTAATACATTTGCGAAAACAGTACATTGAAAGTAAAATAAAACAGTATTTTAAAAAACTCATTTTATTTCTTTGTCTGATAAAAATTCAGAATGCAATGGCAACGTTGCCAGTATTCAGCCACATTAAAATTACTATTCCAGAGGCGCGGCGCGCAGCGGTCTCGCGTAATACTCACCTCCGGTCATTGTTAATACTCAATCAGCCAGCTTTATGGAAAATATTTTGTTATTTTTAAATGTAACCCGATGTTTGTAAGTAAATATAAGTTTTAATGACGAATGACTTACCTCTCAAAGCACATATATATTAAATAAATATACAACTCATAACAAGGTAAATTCTTAACTCATAACAATCGTATCGTGTTTAATAATGATAAATAAACGCTAACTAAATGCTAGAGAAACTCGAGTACCTTACTTACTTACAACTACAATAAAGCGACAGCGTTCGCGAGACGGGGGAGGTTAACCTTTGTGTGGCGAGCGAGATACCCGAGCAATATAGCAACAACAACTGATAACTTTTTAGTTTTCTGACACTAATTATTTAGGTGACAATAGAAAAAATTCCGAAAAAACCGTATAACCGAAAGTTAAAAACAGAAAAAATCGGTTTTCAGTCTGTTTTGCATGCCCATAGTCACATGGGCTTTATTTTATTGTCAAGTTTAACTTAAGTTAAACTTTAGTTTATTGTATTGTTAAATGACGGGACGAAAGAACTATCTTGAATATGCAAGTGAAAAAAACAATAACAGTGTACATACACACACATTCACGTGTATACTCTCTTTGAAATAAAATTTACTATGAATAGTTATCGACTGCTTAGGTTTTCGCAATTGCTGTACATTGAAAACGAAACTAGTTTTCATTTATTATTTATTAAGTTTGTGTTGAGTTACTATAATCAAGTTTTAAATCAATTTTATTTTACATAAAAATTGAATTGTTGCATTACAAACTGAAAAGTTTTCAAACAAATATTTTCACTGTAGTTCGAAGGTACGGTAAGCTACAACTAAAGCAAACTGTCGAAAATATTAAACTACATTCTTTAAATATAATAATAATATTATTACTTACCAGACAGTCACACCAATTCCTTATTCTCAAAGTAAGGAATTCCCTGTGTTGCTGAGATCAGAGCAATGGAACCACCAGAACCAAATTTAAAAAAGGTCATTTCTTTTCACTCCTCATCCAGCGCCCACAGACCAAACGTTTCGCTACTGAACATCGTCAAACTAGCGTTGTAAATACATTGCCGCCGATCCCCATCACTCAAATGTACTTGTAGTGTACACAGATCAATTAAACTTTATCTAAAATTCCTAGATTTCTAGTTCTAAATAAAAGTACTTCTAGAACATTCCAGACTACAGATGTCACGAAATATATTCACGTGTAAAAGTAGGTAAGTTTAGTAGCAGTAGAGCCTCTTGTGAAAGAGTTCGTCCAGAAAAGTACTGCCACTGTACTTATTTCTGCCGCCAAGCAGTAGTGTGAGCATTACTATGTTCCGGTTTTGAAGGGTAAGGGTACTGGTGGCGGCACTGCAACTTCACGGTTGCCCCAGAACAAAACCAAGTAAGTGCTTACAACACTTTATAGGAGAGCCAAAAAACACAAAAGGATAATTGTACAAGGTTGCCCTTGTACAATTTTCCTTTTATTGTAAAAAAAATAATAGTAGTTAGACTGTGGTATTAGCTAGGATACTAATCAACGAACATATTGATGTCACAAAATGACTACAAGTTATATATTACATATTTTATGTAATATACATATATGTTACCCTTGCTTACTTTGAATATTTATAATAAGTTAAGTGAATGCTTTGGTTAGGGGTGTGTCGCTTACCACTAGGCGCACAATTTGTTCGTCCATCAGTAGGTCTTTCGTAAATTAGAAAACTAAAGAAAAAAAGTAATTTATTTAGAATTAAAAACATCTTTGTACAGTCAACAGCAGATCAAGCATACTTTTAACATTAACATTGAACATACACACTGTATCCATATCCATGTTTAGCTTGATATGCTGCCGTCTGTATACTACAAATTGTCATATGGGGTAATCGTATTCCAGAAGTACCTTTTAATTCTGGCATTGTCTTTGCAGTTTTAAATAAAGTGTCAGTTTGCCAAGCTTGATCTAGGATTGAATATACAGAAAATATAAACCAAGAGGATATGAATATTCGTATAAAAATGAAGAAATAAAAGTGGTTTTACCAAGTTCTTCATGTTTGCAAAATATCAAACATAACAATCTAATTTAAGAACCGCATACGAATATTTTTTTAGAAAACTTGTGTTTTTGTCTCTACAAATTACTCTTAATTTACACAAAAGAAATGTCTGGCGTAGATATGAAGGCGTCCAATTTTTAACCGGCTCAATAAAAGGAGGAGGTTCTTAATTCGACTGTATTTTTTTGTATGTATATTACGCGATAACTCAATCATTTGTGAACCGATTTTGATAATTTTTTTGTTACAAAAAGGGTATTCAGTATAGGTCTCATTCAAATTTGAAGAAAGTATTCCACGCCTAAGGGTGGCAAACTAGGGGATGACTCCAGTTTCGAGAACTTGACAAATAGATGTAATTCTACGAACTTTTGAAGTCGGTTTTTCAAATAAAAAAGTTATCGTAGATAGAATCTCGTAGATGCAATTATTTTTAAATTATAGACATTCACTGTATTCTAAAGTATTATTACTCTAGAATATTATCCACAGAAACGGTACATTTGAAGTGTCTGTGTTTTGTTTACACTATAGCCTCTCTTGAAATATTTTTGTAAGAACATTTTTATTTTCCAAATTGAATACTACTCACAAATCGTTGAATCAGTGAGCTGGTGGCAACAGCTTAATTTATTCCCGCCAAAGAATAAATTAAGCGGTTGCCACGGTCCCGAACACAACGCGTCAGGACGCCCCGTGTACATCAAAATGTACTTATTATGTGAAGTGCTTCAGACCCAGATAATATTATTCCTATGATCACGTAAACGCTCAGTGTATAAAAATATTGCATTCAAATTTAATGTATATATTCCATATGACCACAGGATATCTACAAAAATATGTTTTTCATACAAAACTAAGGGCATACTTGTCTGGACCTGAAAAATTATATTTAGTAAATTTTTTTATGAACCAAGTGACAGGACGAAGAAGTCGTGTGGCTGGTGGTAAGCGACACGCCTGTCCGTAGCAGTTGCAGTGCCACTTAGAACTTTAAATCACAAAGATCTGAGGGGCACTGCCACTGCGCCCGTCACCTCGAGACGTAAGTTGACAAGTCCCATGTGACACTAATTTCACTAACATCCTTACCGTTCAAAACCGGAACGCAGTAATGCTCACATTACTGCTTGTCAAGAGAAATGGATAAGGTGGCAACATTTTTGCGAAAGAACTCTTTCAAAAGGAGCTCTACTGCTATTTCATTTTTATTAATGTACATAGGTCTTAGGAGGTTAAAATATGAAACTATTTTTCGAACCAAAATCGCGCATTATTGACTTGTCTTATTTTTATGTTGTGAAATAACTTCACTAATTTGTTATAATTATTAAATACCAAGAAAAAATCCTTCGACCCGACGGGTCTCGAACCTGCGACACATGTGATAAAAGCATTTTTGTCGTATGATTACACGTGGCTTTATTATGCCAATGATACGAGTAGACCCAAGGTCCTTTTTCAAGAAAATAAAAAAACACACAAACGACACAAATTGAAAAGTAAAGTCTACCTTACGAACCAAAATATGTAAAGTAGTGAAACTTTGTATAATCAACAGAATAAATATTTTGTTTGAATCACTATTGAATTGTTCTATTTGTCTAGTTAACATAATTAAAATAAATCCTCTATTATTATTATTGAAATAGTATCCATTGTTTCAGATAAACATTAACAACGAGGCTATCAAACAACAACCAACCATCACGGGAGAGTAATAATTAGTAATATAATATCGGAAAATGTCGACCGACAAGTCTAACATTTCACAAACATTGTCCAACTTATTTGAAGAAATGTTACTACCGCAAGAAACAACTGAAAATCGGAGTGCTCTAGACTTCACGCATTTTTTGTCAGCATTGAAAGAACAGTCTTCGAGGAATACTAGCCATGAGCCTTTGGATTTCGGGACATTGGTGAAGATAGTCGATGGATGGCGAACAAGATTGAACCTTACCAGACCTACAGAAGCAACTTGCAATTATTGTGAAGGGAATTTTCGTGACGTCATCCTGGCGTACAATGCCATTCACGGATACTTCAGTCTTATCGTAAGTTTTTGATTACCCTCAGCGTCTTGAAGTTAAATGGATCTCTTCAGATAGTTTACAGAATCTGTATTATCTAGCAAAGACTTTGTTGCTTAATCTTTGTTACTATGTCTTAACAGAGTTATGTACCTCTTTCAGTATTATTTATTTTCTTCTAAATAATATGGCAAGAGGCGTAACATTTACGAAAAATTGTATGCTTATTTTCATAAGTTTCCAAATATTTTTTTTTTGTTGAAAATTTGAATAAGTGAGTTTGATCTCACAGCTTCACCTTTTCAGGAAGCATTGCAAAAACTCACTTGTATCTTAAAAATAGATAGGTCAAGTTCACGTCAAATTGGTAAGAATATATTGTGGACGCAAGGGCCCTTAATGAAATTAATTACGTACTATAAAACTATTTTCCACAACGTCTACAGGGGCTATATCCCCACAGGCATTGGAATACATGCTTGTTTAACTCCAATCTTTTTATCACCACCACCTTTCTTGAATGAAATTTTAGTAGCAGTAGAGCTCCTTGTGAAAGAATTCGTTCAGGGAAGTACTACCTTGCCCATTTCTACCGTCAAGCAGTAAGATGGGTATTAACGGTTTAAAGTTGATTACGGCTTCACGCATTAACTGTTAAGGTGTTTACGAATTTGACAAGAACGCATATCAACCTCGAACCATACGACAAACCTCTGTTAGTAGTAGATATGATCGCCGATAATAGACCAAGGGCGCTCCGATCGTACGCACGCGCACGCTTCCATATTGCGTATGCGTAGTGAAAATGGCAACGCCAGAAATTGACAAATTAATGTTTTAAACAAAACGTTTTCGAATATAGTCACTAAGATTTTTGTTCATATCTAGTTAGTAGGTATTACACACTTGTATTTAGAAAGAGCAATCTCTAGAGTTTCTTGCTCATTCTTATTCTTCAGTTGAATCTGCCTTACGAATGAGCATTTGAGTTTTAGTTTAAAGAAATTAAAATTAATACATAAAGGCAATGACAGCAATGTACTAATGTATGACTTTCGAATTGGCCTAAAATAAAAAGTAAAATAAGCAACTAGTCTTTAAAAAAACATTGTATAACTTCGGGGTTTTTGCCAATCTCAGGCCGATCCTTTAAGTTCCGCAACGCTGACTTTTTCAAGTAGATTTCTTTGACTGAATTTCATACATTATAGACATATACGCGCACTAAAAAAATATTATTGAAATTAAGACGTCAGTTGTTTCCATTTAAACATATCAAGCACAATTTATATTAGCGACGATTCGCACCCTTGCTTGGTCTAATAAAGCGCCTTCTGCAAAATGATAACTTTTCAGGTGAGACGTTTAAAGAAGCGTTATGCTTAAACAGGAGAGTTATAACATTTCGCATTAAGATAATTTTTTTCATGTAGTTGGTACTATTTTGTGACTATAGTCACATAAGTGATAAAAGCATTTTTGACGTGTGATCACATGTGGCTTTATTGTAAAGGATACGAAATTTTCAATATTGAATTTAATCTGTGCAGGTTTCTGTATCTGCTTGCTTTATTTTATTTGTGACGGAAATGGGTATTGCTGTACTCGTATCTTAGAAAATATTGTTTGTATCTCGCTCTACAAACTCGTCCAGCAATTGCTTGTTTCCTGTTATCTATTGAGTACAATTTCCTTTTTTATGATTATATTGTGTCTTTTAAGACCGTACTTACTTGTCTGTGATACACACGTGGCTGTTCGGGTCTTTTTATTAAACAACAGATGCGCAATCTAGGCCACCGAACAGTTGCCACTGCATTGTTTAAATCTTCAATTCAAGTGATTTTGGGGCGGGACGAGAAAGTGACAACAATGGTAAAATGTGTAGTTAAAATTTGCAACTTTTCTGGGTACCAAATGTATCATAAATGCTTGTTCAGATATAAACGTTATTCGCTGCCGCTATGGGTAGCGAAATCCGATTGTAAGCGGTATTCCCACTGTTCCCACCTAAGCGAATATCGCTAACGCTGTGGGTAGCGAAATCCGTCATGCATTATAATTTATTATTATTATGCTAACTAATCGTCACTAACTGACTTGCGGGCTATGCGGAAGGATGAATTTGCCACTGCTCCCGCATCGTGTGGCGACACCTTTTTCTCAAAGCAAGCGAAAAGATAACGCATACCTGGGTGATATGGCGCGGTATTCCGGTTTCGCTCTAGCTGCAGAACATCATGCAAATACCTAATAATATGGGATGCCTCGCTGTATTTTTCGCTATACACATTAGTAGGAAAGAATGCTTATGTCTGTAAAGGCCTTAAAGGTAGTGGTCTAATTTTTGACAGGCAAGTTTTGTTCAGATCGTCCAAGAGTTTAAAGAACAAAATAAGATTCCACATCAACATGATCAAAGTCAAGAAATAATTTATTTTATAGTTAAAATAAATTTACACTTGAAAACGCATTTTTTTAAGGTAATGCTCGTTCATTGTGTTGACTTCCCTGAGAAGAACGAGCAAGAAACTCTAGGTGTTGCTCTTTTCAAATAAACATAAATGCTATGGAATACTCTTCGAATAAATTTATCTGGAGCCATATCGTCTTTCCATACATTTTTATCTAAAACGTAGTCTTCAATTTTGTAATAAGATTTTTCAAATAAAATACTTTTAATGGGTCATAAGTTTTAAACTTAGGAAATATATAATATATGCTTCGAAATCTTATTGTAAAAACGGTTTCGTATACTCAATCAAAGCCATATCGGTGAAAATGAAATTGGTCATAAAAGAAAAGTGAGGATATAAAAACAATCCCATCGTGATACAAAAAACAGCATACAAAAAATTATTGAACCATTTGGAACTGAAAACAGCATGCAGAGGTAATTGGGTGCCGCTTGAAAAATTCCATGTTTTCAATTGTCAGTCAGAAAATTACCGTAATAAGATAAACGTATAGATTATTAGCTACCGAGAAAATGAAGACGTAAAAGAAGTATTTAAGTAAGAATAAGGCTGATTCGGAGAAAGAATGGATCGAAGAATTTGTTTCAAAGTGTTCAATCTTTGTATTTATAATAATAACAAACTAGTGGAGTAATTTGACAAAAAATAATTGAATAGCACAGTGGTGAAACATCCTGGCTTTCTATAAACTTAATTACAACAATGGGTTGATTGACAAAATATTGATTCACAATAGCCGCATCGGTTGCTCATTTGTGTCAAAATCACATAAATAACTTTAAATGACGTAACGGTCATTTAAACGGACTAAATACACCTCCTATAACTTCATTTCATATATAATTCTCGTTTGTAATAATATTAAAATTTTATAAGAATATTTTATGTAAAACTCTTTTTATGTAACAATACTTTATTCAGATAATTTTCACGATGTATTTACCTGCACCTTCAATAAAATACTGGAATACTTAAATAATAAAAATTGACACCGAAATTAGGTAAAGAAAACTAACTTCAAAATTACCCAGTTGTTTTTTGCATCCATACGGCGAAACGGGGTGCCCCGTACTATCACTTCTGATATTTAATTTTATGGTAAACGCCGTTACTGTCTATGAACGGGTTAAACAGAAACAGATACTTTGTCGGAAGAGATTGTTTGCCAACGTTATTCAATTTTTTCAACATAATAGACCACTTTCTACAGATTTTGAAAACCCAAATAACTAATATATTCCTTATATTGAAACCTAATATCTACCCTACTTATATGTAAATCTACACATATACCATATTTTTTGAATGAACATGTTCTACGAAAATCTGTGGCCACGCGGTCTCTTAAGCGTAATTCACGTATTATCACGCATATTTTACGAAATCGTTCATTTCTCTTCGGATTCCTATTTTTCCGTCATTCTCCGCCAGTGAATCTATAAGAATTTGGGAAATATTATTTCTGAACCCACACTAACAACACAATAAGTCTGTTTCATTGAAAACAATTCAATTTTTTTATTAATTTCATAGGTTAACAAATTACATGTGAAAAAGCCAAATTTACAACCTACAGAACAGCACTAGGCTTCGTCAATGGGCCCTAAAATGCAACAAAAACTGGAACGTACGTAAGTACTTAAGAAAAGTTTGCTTTTTAAAATAAGCACGCTTTTCAATACTATAAAGCGTTGGTCAGTTCAACAATTTGATTTTTTATAACGTGCTTATGTTTCAAGTCTCGCCATCTATGTTTCATACAAATCTATTCGTCAAATAATTTTATAAATATAATTGTAACTCTTACATTGAAACAAAAACCGGCCTCAAAAGTTTGCTTATCGACTTTTTTCAATTTTCATGGCATCGTCTCATTAGATTCTGACTGGCCGTTCCCAATATTCTATCTATCGCCCAGTTAGGCATACTAGAGATAGAAAAATCTATCTATCTCTGGTTTTAACGTCTCAGTAGCCTATCGGGGAATAAGGAGTCTTACCCGCCCACGTTATCTATCGATGGGAGGATCTATCCCTTACTAGGGATAGATTTGTGTATGAAAACGGAACGTTATGCGTCCCTATATCGGTTTGACAGCTGTCTGTAACTTGGCCTATCAAATATACCAGGTTTGTTGTTCGTCCAAATTTCAGGGATAAACGTTTGGATAAGCACTGTTTATGTTTATAAAAATACACGTGAAGCTTTTTGTCGTTTTAAAATTGTGTCTTGTTCAAGTGAAAGCGATTTAGAACTGTTAATGGAATTATCAGACTGGGATGGTGATCATGAGGACGAAACTCAAAGGACAGGCAAATGTCGTATTGACCATAATATATGAACGAATTGAGTAACTACGAATTTACTTATAGACGACCCATAGGAGATATAGGAGACCCAAGAGTTCTGGGTGCCATTGATGGTACACATATTCTGATACAATCACCAAATAAGTACCTAAAAAAGGGTTTGTTATAATTGTATTGTTATTTCTGATACTCTGATTATGTAGTACTTTACAATTATTTCATTGTTGTAATTTCTAGA